ACACCACACATGTACACATTTATTTTACCACTCATCTGAGTTTTTTTTGTTTTTTATCTTAATATTTCTTGGTTTTATTAATTTTCCTTTTATATCCATGGGGAAGTGGAATAAAAATTTTTTTCCTCCGTAAGCCATGCGTGTTGTAAAAGTCAACTAAAATTCCCGGGAACAAGGCTAGTAACCCTTTTCCTGTAAAGATTACTAAAAAGAATAAGAAGAAGAAAATTGTCCAAGTGGGAAGTCTGAATGTGCGTGGATGTTGTGCAGATGATAAGAAAGAGATGATTGTGGATGTTATGAATGAAAAAGCTGGATGTCCGGGCTTTAAGTGAAACAAAGCTGAAGGGGGTGGGAGAGTTTCAGTGGAGAGGAATAAATGGGATAGGTCGGGGGTTTCAAATGAGTTAGAGCTAAAGAAGGAGTAGCAATAATGTTAAAAGGATAAGCTATGGCAGGAAAAAGGGACTATAAATGTATTAATTCAAGGATTATGTGGAGTAAAATAAAGATTGGAGTGAAAAAGGGGTTATAAATAAGCGTGTATGCACCTGGAGAAGAGAGAAGTGTAGAGGAGAGAGAGAGATTTTGGAAATGTTGAGTGAATGCGGGGGGAGTTTTGAATCAAGTGTGAGAGTAATGGTGGTTGGGGATTTCAATGCTAAAGTGGGGTAAAAATGTTATGGAAGGAGTAGTAGGTAAATTTGGGGTGCCGGGGGTAAATGTAAATGGGGAGCCTTTAATTGAGCTATGTGTAGAAAGAAATTTGGTAATAAGTAATACATTTTTTAGGGAAAAAGAGGATAAATAAATATACAAGGTATGATGTAGCACGTAATGAAAGTAGTTTATTAGATTATGTATTGGTGGATAAAAGGTTGATGGGTAGGCCCCAGGATGTACATGTTTATAGAGGGGCAACTGATATATTGGATCATTATTTAGTTGTAGCTACAGTTAAAGTAAGAGGTAGATGGAAAAGAGGAAGGTGGCAACAACAAGTAAGAGGGAGGTGAAAGTGAATAAACTAAGGGAGGAGGAAGTTCGGGTGAGATATAAGCGACTATTGGCAGAAAGGTTGGGCTAGTGCAAAGATGAGTATGGGGGGGGTTTAAGAGGGTTGGATTTGTTTTAAAAATGCAGTATTTAGAATTGTGGGGCAGAAGTTTGTGGTTATAGGAGGGTGGGGGCAGGAGGAAAAAGGAGTGATTGGTGGAATGATGAAGTAAAGGGTGTGATAAAAGAGAAAAAAGGGAGCTTATGAGAGGTTTTTACAAAGCAGAAGTGTTATAAGAAGAGCCGAGTATATGGAGAGTAAAAGAAAGGTAAAGAGAGTGGTGAGAGAGTGCAAAAGGAGAGCAGATGATAGATGGGAGAGGCACTGTCAAGAAATTTTAATGAAAATAGAAAAAAATTTTTGGGGTGGTTAAACAAGTTAAAAAAGCCTAGGGAAAATATGGATTTTTTTCGTTAAAAAACAGAGTAGGGGGGTTAGTGATGGGGAGATGGGGGTATTGGGTAGATGGCGAGAATATTTTGAGGAACTTTTAAAAAAGTTAAAGGGAAAAAAACAGAGGCAGTAATTTTATGCACTGGTCAGGGGGGTTACCTCTTTTAGGAGTGAAGAAGGCAAATGAAAAGTGGTGGGGGAGGTACTGAGGCATTATGAAAAATAAAAGGGGGGAAAAGCAGGGGAAAACTGAGGGATTATACAGAAATGTTAAAAGCAGGGGGGGTTTTAAAGTGTTGGGGGTTGGTACTTTTGTTTAAAAAAATGTATGAAAGGGGGGAAGGACCTAGGGATTGGCAGAGGCATGTATGTCCCTTTATATAAAGGGAAAGGGGACAAAAGGACTGTAAAAATTATAGGGGAATAAGCTTATGATATACCGGGAAAAAGTGTAGGGTAGGGTTTTAATTAAAAGAATTAGAGGAAAGACAAATGTAGGTTGCGGATGAGCAAGGGGTTTAGAGTGGGTAGGGGATGTGTAGTCGGTGTTTCATTGAAGCATATATGTGAACAGTTTTTAGATAAAATTGGAAGTTTTTATTGATTTATGGTTTTGGGAAAAGGCTATGATAAGTGGATAGGGGAGAATGTGGCAGATTTTGCAAGTATATGGAATAGGGGGTAAGTTATTAAATGCTGTAAAAAGTTTTTTTGAGGATAGTGAGCTCAGGTTGGGTGTGTAGAAGAAGGGGGGGAATACTTCCGGGAAAAAATAGGTCTTAGACAGGGATGTGTAATGTCACCATGGTTGTTTAATTTTTTATAGATGGGGTTGTTAAGGAAGTAAAAGTGGGTGTTTGGGGGGAGGGGTGGGATTAAATTATGGGGGAAACAAAAATTTAAAAAGGGAATTGCACAGTTTTCTTTTTGCTGATGATACTGTGCTTATGGGAATTCTAAAAAAAATTTCTAAGGTTTGTGGATGAGTTTGGGAATGTTGGGAAAGGTAGAAAGTGAAAGTGAACTAGAAAAGAGTAAGGTGATGGGGTGTCAAATGATTTGATAAAAAAAAATTGGATATCAAATTGGGGGGAGGAGGGTATGGAAAAAGTAAATGTTTTTAGATATTTGGGAGTTGAGGTCGGGGGATGGATTTATAAAGGGTTGGGGTTAATCTAGAATTAGGGGGAAAAAAGGTGAGGGGTGCGTTGAGGTTATGTGGAGTCAAAAACTTATCTATGGGGGCAAAGAAGGAAAATGTATGAAAGTATAGTAGTACCAACACTCTTATTGGGTGTGAGCTTGGGTGGAAAAATGCAGCAGGAGGAGACGGTTGGGGGCAGTGGAGATGTCCTTTTTAAGGGGCAATGTGTGGTGAAAATATTATGCAAAAAATTCGGAGTGGGGAAAATTTGGGAAAAGGGTGTGGAGTTAAAAAAAGTATTAGTCAGGGGGCAGAAGAGGGTTGTTGGGTGGT